AAACCTGTATTAAAATACCACTGTAGAGTTAGGAGAGTTGTTTGCACGAGAGAATTAGCAGTAAGACTAACATTCGGGTTTCTTTTTTTTGAGCCAGAGATTTCCCCTGAAGCAGAGTGCAGCCAAAGCAAAGACAGGAAACAAAAGCAAAACTAGACACAGCTTTGCTTACAATCTCCAGCAATATTCTACATTCCTACATGATGGTTGTTTCTGTATTTTTTTTTCTGACAGTGCAAAGTCTTTCAGGTTAAGAAAAAAATTAATTCTATACTGTCTAGAAAAAAATCTTGTGATTAAAGGAATGGCACAATCTAGTCTACTCTTCATACTGTAAACTATGTTTTGCTATACTTTTGTTAGAAATGGTTTATCAGTACAGCATATGTCAAAACCAGCAACAAATCAGAAAAACGCATCAGTCAAAATAGTCCAAAAAGTAAAAAAAACACTGTAAGAGTTCAAAAACAGAAGATTTTTTTAAAATATAATAATATAACCAGGGAAATTATTATAGCAAGATCTAAAAATCTACAATTTTCAGAAAACTTTTGGCTTGACTTTCAATCCAATGCCAACTTTCAAGCAATTTTTATGAAATGCCAAATATCCTTATCAAACTTCTATTTTCAACTATAATTAGGCTTCACAAACCACACAACATGGACATGCAAGTCACAGGAATCTAAAGCAGTGCACTTCTTTATTCATACCACACTATCAGTCTATTAGTCGGACAGAAGCTTCTATTTACTCCCAATTAATTCCTGCTGCGGCTGAAGGGACTTCAAACCTTTGTCCTTCAAAAAGCTCTTTTGTCACTCACTTTAAGAAAAACACAGTAAGGATATTCAGTGGCTTGATGACTCTGCTGCAGATTTCTCTTATCAGTTAACATTCCCATCAAACACAGAACAATTCTTTTTTAGCTCAGGTAAACCACTGTCTAAAAACACTGTAGGAGGTCTCCAAGTTATTATTCACACCTTTAAAAAAGTACTGTCACTGAGCGCTGATATTTCTACAGGAAACCTTTCCTGCTAAAACAACCACCCAGTATATTTCCCCCCGAAATTCTGACTTCTCATTTAAGTTGCCAAAAATAAAAATCGACCAAGTTTCTAAAGCATTTGGGTCTGTCCCTCTTTAACTGTTACTATGCAAACATAAGTGTAATAATAACAATTAACACTCCCCACAAGGAAGCTTAGAAGCACTTGGTTAAGCGACCTTAGACCAGAAGTCTTTTTATCATCATGTTTGAAAGACAGTATCAGAGTCTGATTCTGTTTTGCAGGTTATGTACTGCATGATTTCAAAAAGTTACCCTCAAGTTGCAACAACATGAAGACTACGCTTCCCTTAAACGGGAAGTTAACATTTCAGCTGGCATAGCTGAATGATTGAACCTGTTCAGCCTGTTGCATGAGGAAGCCTGAAAAAGAGCATGTGTTTTATACTGGAGCGTGACACAGTGAATTCTGGTCATTAAATTATCTTTGATATCTGATCAGTTATATTAGAGGGTGCCCTGGGAAGCAGTGTGGGGGCTGGCCAGGCCGTGCCGCCCGGCTGCGTTAAACCCTGCCAGCTCCCAGGGGCGAGATTAGGGCACGCCAGGAACATCGTTACGTAAAGTAACGCCCAAACTGTGGACCGTCAGGACGGAGGGGAAATAAAGTTCAGGCTTCGGTCCTGGGTGACATGAGAGGCTTTCGGCAAAGCTGTCCCCGCCTCAAAGCCTGCATGAACTTAACCCAGACCAGGAGAGGTGTCGAAGACTCGTGTGGGGAGATGCCGAAAGCCAGAGACACGCCTAGAGGCAGCTCCTGAGGCGGCCTGAGGAAGTTACCGGTATTTTGTAAATCAAGTCAGGGGGAACTGGCTCACAGAAGGAGGCGGGAACCCTCGGAGGGGGTCCGGAACCACCTGTGCTCGGGCACCGGCTGCCGGCCGGTTTCGGCCGCGCCTGCGGACCCCGGTGGCCCGACCCCCAGAACCGACGGACTGCGTGAGGTAAAGCGCTGCAGAAGGACGGTGCCGCGGGCACCCTCCGCAGCCAGCGGCCCCCTCTCCAGACCCCGTTCCCGCCCCGGGCTGCGCCGCGCCCCCGCCCCTGACCCACTAACACACCTCCCAGCCAACATGGCCGCCCCGCCAGCCAGCGCGGAGCGCAGCCTAGCCCGGCCGCCACCACCCCGCCCCGCCCTCCCCGCCCGCTCAGTGGCTCGCTCCTCAGCCACGCGCGCTGCCATTCGCCGCCACCCACGCCGCTCACCTGCCCAGCGGCCCTTTCAAGCTAGGGTGAGGCGACATGTAAACAAACCCCCTTCCGCCGCTCCGGAGGGGATCGGCCGCGGCCCCGGGCCCCCCCCGAGCAACACCCGCCCGCCGCCACGGCACCGCGCAGCCCACGCCGGCCTTTCCCCCGGCCCTGGCCTGGCGGGGAGGGCGCGGAGGGCTCCCCGGCCCCACGGGAGGCAGCCCCCGCCCTGCGGCCCCCGCGGCCTCCCCCCCACGCCTTTACCTGGGGGCAGCTCCTTCGGAAGCGGCCGGGGCTGCCGCTCACCGATGAAGCTCCATAACCCCCGGGCCAGTCCAGTTACATAAAACGCCGTGGCAGAGCGGGGAAGAGTCCCTCCCGCCGCCCTGCCCCGCCACTCGCACACCGCCCGCCGGCTCCGGACCCCCGCCCCCGTCTCCCTCTCCTCTGGCCCCGCTGCCTGCCCCAGGGACCGCAGCCGCCCGGCCGGTCACCGGCATGCCGCCAGCAAAGCCACCCCCCGCACCCAGGGCGGGTCAGCCCCTGGCCGTCCCGAGCATTCAAACAGGTCGAAAGCGAAGGAGGCGACTACGAGCCTGAACAGCAACAGAGCGCAGGGACTGGCCCCCAGCGCGGCAGCGCTCGACCGCATCGGCGCCGGGCAGCCTCGCCGTCCCTCCAGCCACACAACCAGCGCGACCGGTCTGCCCTGGCAGGACGGCGCTTTCGCTTCCCCGGCGCTCGCTGCGCGACTCGCTTTCCTTGTAAAGGCACGGGCCGCGCCTGACAGATAGAGGTTGGAAAGGACGCTGACAACTCCCTGCGAAGCCCGCGCTCCGTGCTCTGACCAGCCCGCCGCCTCCCTCCGCAGCCCCTCTCGCCGCGCCCTCAAGCCACATCGGTGCAGCCCCCTGCCCCCAGGCCCGAAACCTCGGCCCCAGGAGCCGGACACCGCCCCCCACCCCCCACCCCGCCGCGCACAGCTGCTCTCCCGCAGCCACACACCGCCCCCCGCCGCGGAGCGAGGGGAGCAGAGGGCGCGGCGAGCTCCCGCCGCTCCGCTCCCCTCCTGGGCAGAATCCCCGGACTCCTTCTCCTCGGCGCCCGGGAGCCGGGCTGACACACCCCTTCCCGCGCCCCGCCGCCGCGCACACACTAACACCGCCTCCTCCCCGCCGGGACGCGCTCCGCCCGCCACCCATCCCTGCAGCGGGGCGGCAGCCGCGGCCCCGGGGCGCCCCGCAGCCCCCCCCCACCCCCCCCCCCCCGCCGGCCGGGGCCGGGGCCGCCGCCGCCCCCCGCGGCCCGCACTCACCGGGCGGCCAGGGCTCAGCAGGGGGCGCCGCCCCGCGCGCTCCGGCCCGGACCCTCCATGCGGCTTCGGGGTTTGTTTTGTTTATGTCCCTTCCTGACGGGTTCCCGGAAATCGCGTGACTCGCCCCCCTCACGTGGGGAGGGCGGGCAGGAGAAAAGGGGGGGGGGGTGGGGGGGAAGGGCCACGCCAGCCAATCGCCGGCCGCCGCCCCGGCGGCCAATGGAGCGCCGCCCCGGCGGGGCCTCCCCCCGTCACATGAGGGCGGCGGGGCGCGCGGGCGGTATTTAAGGCCGGGTGGCGGGCAGCGCGCGCTCGCGCCCTCAGGCTGCTCGTCTTTTGGGCTTCTGCCTCGGCGGTACGGTGTCCACCCTTCACAATGACAGGCGGTTGGCCTCCATCGGTTAAATTAATAAAAAAAGAAAAAAAAAAACACCAAAACCCAACCATTCTTATCTTAGTATTTGTAAAGACTAATTCTTCTATAATTTAGATGTTTTTTTGCATTTCGCAGGAATAAAACATCTTCCCACTGTATCTAAACACCATCATGCCTGCCAATACGAATTAAAAAAGCAGGCTTCTTTTGCCCAAGAGACTTCATAGTACATGATTCTGGAAATAAAGGACCAGCCACCCACCTCTGATAACTAACTTAAAGCCCTTCACATGAGGAAAATGCTTCCATGATTTCCAGTAGAGGAAAAGCAAACCCCCATAAACTCTTCAGGACAGTTTTCTGAGGTGCCTGGATGCAGATATTTGAATTTCCTAAACAATACAAGCAAAAGAATTTAAAAGCATTTGAAATGACCCGACTCAAACACTTGCTCTACATGCTGCCAATGTTTATGACAAAGTCTTCGACTTGACTGTGGAGTCAGTTTCCTTAATCCTCCTCACCTTTTACCTTCCCCCCAAAATCCCCATACACATAGGGAGAGCAGACCTTTTCCCTGCAGATCCAGGCCTTCTCTCTGTTTCAAGGACCATCAAACTTCCTTCATATATACTTTAACATTTTGTGTTCTCTTCTGTTGTCACAAAAACATGAGGAAACTGTTAAAGGCTTTGATACCTGTACTGTTTGTTAAACACCAGTGGCTGAATCTGTCTGCTCTAATTTCCTACAGTCATGCAAAAAAATAAATTATCTGAAGCAGTGTTAATTCCTGGCACACACGGAGCAGGCCACTCCATAATCACGATGCAGACAGTAGGTCACACAACATTCAGCAGAACAGAAACAAAACATTATTTTTTCAATTTCAATCATGCTACTACTCGGTATCTGTTTCAGAGAAAATATTAACCATTTGGATAAGGAGAAATTTATCTGTAACACACCTAAATAAAAATTGAACTATGGCTTGTTTGTCCAGACTTTGAATAGTTCTTTACATTAAATTCACCAACAGTGAAACATGCCATGTGAACTCTGTTTTAATTCTGTATCTTCTACAATGAATGACAGCTTAAGAACCTAAAATAGAAAGCTTGTTACAGGGAGTGGTAATACCAATATACCTATTAGTCACCGGATGTTTTCTGATGTCTCACTTTAGGGTAAATACAACAGGCAGATCAATATATTTTAAAAACTGTGACATATTCAAAATTGTCAATGACGTCTTGAAGCATTTCTCCTCGTCCTGGCATTTTCTCGATGTCAACATGTATTATCCTCCACAGACTTTAAAAAAAAAACAACGATCCAACAACCTACACTTTTGTAAGATCATTTGGTTTCCAATCTTCTTAGTCAGTATTTGCCACAGACTATATAGTATTGTGGTGTACAACTTCTTGCGTGTTAAAATACAGCTCTCAGTAGTAGGTAACTTGAAAAAAAAAACACTATTCCAGTCCCAATAGTCACTATGATTATTTGTAGTAATGGATGTGTTCTTATTTCTTTTGCAATTCATGCTGTCCAGTTTTCGATCACTGCAAGTTACAGCATTTTGTCATGATCTCAGAATTCCTTTATAGTAATGAGTACCATCCCACTGAACAAGTTAACAGTGCCATCCAAAAGGAAAAAAAATGAACCACTCTGTTATGTCCTTAAGTGTAAACGCAATAAACAGTAAAACACAGTAAGGAATAATTGCATTTTATCTGGACACGATGTAAGGAGGTAAGAAAGTATACATGAAGACTCCTGTGCATGCAGCAGTATTTATAGTCTTTGAAGTTATTCGTTAGCAAATGACTTTCTAGATTCATTCCCAACCCAAAGATTCAGCTGACATCGAGGAGCTTCACCAATCTTTCATCTATGGCCTACACTGTCATGTGCTTCATCAGGTCTGCAATTTCAAGTGCAAGTGTCCAAAGTCAGTATAAAACAATTGCTACATTTTCTGTTCAATTCAAATTGACTGTTACTGTATGTATCCTCCAAAAAGGCCAGGGAGTAAGTCAACGTCCTATCAAAATTACTATTTACGCTTAATTCAAACTATGTTACTTCTGCTACTGAGTCCCCCTAGCATCAGATAATGGAAAGTTCAAGAAGAGGCTCGAGCTACACATTCACTTCTTCCTGCAGACCACTCAGCAATTTTAGATAGCAAATTCAGTCCTAGTTTAGAACTACCCAAGAGGTCTTTATATAGGCAGCAAGAATGCTCATCACACTATATGACTTTATTACTGTTTATCCACATCATCTAAGTTTCCTCAGCTCAAGTCTAGCCAACAGTTGTCTGATTAAAACTAAAGAAAAACACGTAACAGTTAAACATGGCACGAGAGCATTTTGTATAAAGTAGAGGATGAGTTTTATTTCCAGGCATGAGAAATTTAAGACCAAATTTCGCAAGAATACAACTGATCTTAAAAAATAAATGCCACCAACATGTGGCACCACTGCTTCTCCTTTCCTCATACAGGTTCATTGCACACATTTTTTTCCAAGTGCAGTCAAACAGAACAGGTTTGAACAGCACAGCAACAGACAACCTAAGACCTATAAGATATATACAGTGTTCCTATGGAGTAACATGAACAGGAAAGCTGACTCTATGATCCATAAAAATTTTAGAAATTTTCATCACATCTGAAGTTAACAGACAAAAATTTACAGTACTGAAGAGAAGCATAAATTGCATTAGGCACACCATTGAACGGTATAGTAGGAAAAAATACAGGGCTTTGAAGAAGCCATTTGAAGCACAATGGAAAGGTTAAGGCATTAATGCAGGCTTGGTATCCAACCAACTATGTTAAGGGCATCTTTGGGTCAGTGGAGTTTTTCATCTGGAAGAAATCTCTTCTTTACCTGCAAAGCAAGAGGCAACTTAATTATTCCTTTCCACGAAGACAATTTACTAATCGAAGATCTGGTTGTTAACCACAACTACTTCCATTCTGCAAGTGCGCTGAGAAATGGTCAAGAACTGTAGATAATTAATCTGTATGGAGCTTCAAGAATAATCTCTACTTTCTCGCTTTCTTAGCAGTTTAATTTCTATAGTTACTGCAAGTAGTTTTAGTTACATTATAAGCATGTAGAACAACTATTTTATTAGAAAGTTTTCAATGCTGTGACAGCATACAGTCATCTGGATGATAGCTCTTCTTCCCCTTGCATAAAGAAAGTTCCTGGTTTGCGAACACAGACTGTAAGTTGGCAAATTGAAGGAGAAAAGGTGGTGTTAGATCACATTGCTTAAAAGAGGCCACAGCCCATATTTACCACAGCTACAGAAATTTGCATGTTCTTACATACTGCCATCAAAGCCATTAATTCGATTATATAGACAAGTCATCTGACACATCATCATCACCACTTGAATTGGAGGGATACTGACCCAAAAGAGTGCCAAATTACAGAAGTTTGGTCTTAGATCAATCAAGACAGCATCTGTAGAAGCTCTTCACTAAAATGCAGTAGCCTTCTGTGTGCATTTTCAGCCTGCTCTTATTGGTCAAGTAAAACGGGTTTGCTTAGACTATCCTCATTTTTAAATAAGACCTCTCCACTCTGGGAGTTAGTACTTCATTCCCTTTGCTTTAACTTTTTGCACTGTCCATACTAATCCATCCAAACCTCAACTGAAAGAGAAATAGGAGGGAGAAAAAAGTATAGTACACACACCTTGGGTGCTGGAAAAGCACATCCTAAAAGCCGAAAATAACTGGTCAAAGAAGAAATGGTAGCTATATTTATGGGATTCTGTGCCATGTCAGATATATATCCCAACTCTTTCAGATGGAATCTAATTCACAGCTCCTGTCTAGTGAGAAATTCAACAGGAGGCTCTCAGTGCAGAGGCACACAACAGCAAAAGACAGGACATTGAAGCCTGATCAAGGCAGCCATCTCCTTGCCACTCAACACTACAAGAGTAATTCAAATAAGACCGCGGAGAACAGTATGTCTTGTAATAGCACATTTCTAGCAAGAAAGAATATTATACATAACTATGATATTTGAGGATCATTATATACTTTTACATTTTTAAAGGGTTCTTTTTCACAAAGAACCTTAATTCTATTCCAAAATTAAGTCAATGAAGTCAGACATATAGGTTAAAATAAACTGCTTCATATAACACAACAGCATACACTATATAGGTCTCAAATTCTCCATTAGTAAGTTTTAAAATGACAGCTCATCACAAACTTTCTGGCCATCCTTGAATGCATTAGTTCCCTCTCTTCCTTGGTACAAATTTACCTCTAGTTCTCTAGAAAATCCTTCACTGAAAGCAGTGGGAAAGCTCTGATTCTTTTAGCAGGCACCTAGAGTCCAAGAGTTGTATCTCATCTCCAGTTTGTCCTTTCTGGTTGCAACACACAGAGCATTTATCAGTCAGAAGGAAACCCAATCTTTAGATCCAAAGCATCCACTTGTCCAGATAACTACACTTCAATTACAGATTCCAGGTAACTGAATTATCCTACAGGATTCAGGGATCTGTATGTCCATTGCCAGAATACACACGTCTCTGCTCTAGCTAACGAGCAATGTGTTAACACACGAGCAGTGAAAATGCACGTAGGAAATTCAGCTTGACTGACTTAGCTAATTCCAGGCCTCGAAGCAGGGCCAACTCTACCTTTAGCTTCTGCTTGCTGCTTAAAAGGGAAGATGCAGACACATACACATGTCACAGTGACAACACCACAGTTCAGATGAAGCCTACTTTGAAGCAGTGGAGCTTTGCTGCAGGGTAAATGTTCAGGATGCTTTACAGACAGTATTTAACTGAGCAATAACATCAACTGTCATCTGTCTGCTGCTATTGGACTTCTGTAAACAGAAGTTAAAAGTATTAACAAGGGGGTAGGCAGTTAAACCTAAAAGGACAAAGAAGAACCCACGTGAACAACTAAGCATGTCTAATTATTCAGTTACCAGCATAGAAACTAAAATCATGGGTACTTCTTTCCACACCTATCCTTCATTTGAACCTTCAACTCCAAATACTGCCATTCTAGAGAAAACTGAAGTCATCATGGTACATTTACTACAAGACTTTTTTATTTTTGCTGGTTGTGTCAGAAAGCATGCCCAAGAACTGCAATGGCAACATTCCAATAGCACTACCCAGATAGCAACCATCAGGCTCATATATGATTAAAGCTGCACATAGGCTATCATTAACAAAAACAACCCCCCAAACAAAAAAACAAAAGAACCCCATTCATCTGTAAGATCAGTGTTCATGTTATACATTGACAGGAGAAAGAACCATTCTAATTGCAGTTCTCACTCTGACTTCCCAGGTGAACAAGTGCAACTGTACATAGCTTTGGAAATCTGGACAGGTCTCGGATGAAACGGTAGTAGACTTGAAAGAGGTTTAAAAATTGTTAAAGATTAGGAAATCCACTTATGCTAGTTACTAAAAGACAGCCCAGCCTGATTTTTTTGTGGGAAGAAATTTACAGTTCTCCTTACATACCCCTGCTTACTGAACATAGCACCACATGACACGATAGAGAAAAATAACTGATAGAGAAATGATAGAGAAAAATAACAAGAACTCAGTCCAAGCTTTTCATGGTATCCAGTCAAGATTAACATCCAAAATATGTTTTGCTGCAGCCTATAGAAAGATAGATTTCTCCTGCAAAACAGCTAGCAATTCTGAACACACTGCTTATACTACTGTTCAATTTCTCCTGAAGCTTTAATATACTAAATATAATAAATCTGATCATACTCACCTAGTCAATAAATTGCAGCAGAGGACAGACATCCTTAAGGCCAGTGATACTTAAGATACCAGATTGTTTCATTGCTTAACTGTGGCCCAAAGAGAGGGTTGAGTTGAGCCAGAATCGCAATCAGCCAACTGCAAGACAACCCCCCCAACCCAAAAGAGAGAACATCAGCCAAATTATAAAGCTTATGATAATGGCAAAGCTTGTCCAAAGTACTATCAGAGAAGAAAAGAAGATTTTCAGGAAGGTCTAGTATCAAATCAGATTTTACTCAAGCTCATACACAAAGACCAGATACCAGCAATGAAGATCTGGTACCAAATTATTCTGCAACTGAAACATTTATTTGCCCTGTTCAATTTAAAGCAACACAAAACCACCTGACAGCATTTCTCTCGTACTTTTTCTTTGACAGGAAAGTGTTCTGAGACATATGAAACTCAGGTATTTGTGGGCTTGGAAGATACAAACACAAGAGACAGACCTTTTCAGTGCCTTTGAAGCATCCTTTAAACAAAAACCTCTGAGAAACTCTCTCATTTGCACTTACTTTCAGCATATGACAACCTACCCTTGCAGACATGGTATATTTTTCATCAGAGGTTGAACAAAAGTGAATTTAAACCTGACACAGAGGTCAACAGGGACGTGAAGCAAAAGGGTATGATGCTATAAGAACACACAAAAATTTAAAAACCCACAACAAAACCAATATGACAACAAACCCCAGATCATCAGCAACAGCAGCCTTGTCATCAGAGCAGTTCACAAACTAACACTGCCAGAGCTGTAGCCAGAACCGAGAACAAGAGGAATGTAGTTTGTGGAAAATATCCAGGAAAAGCTAAACAGAAATAAATATTCCACTGTTAAAAGATGTATTTGCTTTGTAAGTATTACAAGATTCAGAAACAGTGATGGATGCTTCCATGGATTTAAATCTATGTTAAATACTAACTATATAAACACATTTAATGAACACACTGGCTCATCTGTCTGCTATTTCTAGAATGCTTTGTAAGGAGGAGAAAAAGCAGAGCAGCTTTGTAATGGGAGCTGCCACAAATGTATCAGAGTGCTTCGGCAGTCATGGAAAATTCCACACAAACCTTGATGCTCTGACCAGCAAACGAAGTACAGGTCGGCTGTAAAGTGACTAGAACAGCCAGGGGCAGAAGATGTGGGCCAGACTTAAAGAAAACACATCAATCCTCTTAAAATTTACCAATATTTATTTTCAATGCCACTTTCAGTTTTTGCACAAAGTAGGATCTATCTAAAACGACGTGCTCAGCCTGCAGCAGCCTATCACTCATGCAAGACTTGAAATATGTAGCAGGCTCTACAAGGCGATTAAACCATCAGCAAGACACCACCAAGAAGAGCCAATAACCTTTAGGTTGACATGTCTCTACTTTGCTGTACAAAGTGATGACAGCAACGTATTCTGAAACCATGTTAATCATTATGTTAAATTTACTTAAGGGAAAAATCAAATCAGCTCTTAAAAATACCATGGAATTTATTTTTCACGGGTTAATTTTCAGATACAAAAGACAGATCGAAGGGGTGCCAGAGCACTGTACCATCTGCCTTTAGCATCCTGAACTAACAGAAGTGGGAGGAGGGTAGGAACACTAAAAGTCTGTTAAAGCACAAAATTCTATCTCACTGTACAGAAGGAAGGAACTCTGCACAAATATCTCACCTCTCTCTGCTTCCTGAATTCAGACCCAGCATGGTTGTGAATTAAATGAGCTAGAACCACATTCAAAATATCGACATGTCCCAGCTGTATAGCCATGCTTTAGGCCAGCACTGTGCAGAAGCTATTCGTTGGGACCGTGCTAGATATCCAAGCTACAAGCCATAGTGGCATTACAGGTCAATAGTATATTCCTCCTCCCCGCTCTGCTAGGGCCTAATAATTTAGAGCAGTAGTTAGGCACTGAACTCTCTGACTCCCTTGCATTCAAGATAAGTAATGAAAAAGCTTTTCCCACATTTTGCTTAAGTGATGCTGCTTTATACAATAATTTATCATAACAACGCAAAACAAAACGTGGCATTTAAAGACAAACAAAGAAAGCCTCTGTATCCAACATGTTCTAGAGTTGCTAAAATCAGGTATGGCATTCGAGCCACCCACAGGTCCTTAAATTCCACCAGATACCACTTACAACAGCTAGTGTTAATTACCCAGCTCAGACAAGGAAATTAAAGTCCTTATGTTCTACCAGAAAGACTTTTTTAAAAGGTCCTTCTACCATAACTGCCATCTGTCTATGTTGCTTATTACAAATAAAGGTCCTGCTATCTCTGTTTAAATGTCAATTTGGGCAACCATATTTTAATCTTTTTCAAATCAGTAGCAAATACTCCCATTTTCAAGTACCCCTTCCTCTGTTAGTAGAATATCACGGTGCTGCTTCGTAAGCAGCAAAATAGACTTGGACTTTGACAGTACCTTGCAACATAGCATAACCTATAATTTCTGCAGCAGTAACTCCTTATGCTTTGCTTTATATTTTATCAGGTTCCTGAGGCTCATGTATTCTCCTTGAAAATGCTGCTGGGTACATCTGTACGCAACTTATGCACTTACCCATGCAAACATTTTCCATAGAACAACCAAACCAAATTAACACCATGTGATCAATATGGTTATTCAAAATGATCACTGTAAAATCTCAATGTAGAAGAAACAGCTTTGAGTTGAAATGTGATTGACTTAAAATTTAGTTAGCACAAATTCAGTTTGATGAAAATCAATTTGTCAATCAAGTGGTGTTTAAAGAAGTCAGGAAATTTTTTTTTCTTATTTTTAGCTGGAAAGGTAACTCAGAGTATGAAAGTAGGTCTAGAAGAGTTCTAAACAACTCTGTGAAGAAGTAGGTAACAGCACCAGCCACCTACTAAGGACACACAAATACAGAAGACCATATCTGGGATAACACAAATTATTTTAATCCTAACATATCCAATGAAGAATCCTCTGAAACCATTCTTTCAGGCTTCTTTCAAGACTGGTATGAAAAATTAGTCTCCTTAGTCACTGAAATTAAGGTCTGAAATTTTTTCAATGCCTTCCCCAAATAAGGAAGAGGATAGGGAAGAACAAAAACTTACAGACGCTTGAATAAAAAAGAGGAAAGAAAGTTTGAACCAGATGATCTTTCACGGTCCTTTCAAACCAGGGCTGTTCTATGATTTTATACAGAATTCATGGGGGAAAAAAACAGAGACTGTGTGATGAGGCAAGTTCTATCTTGGAACAAGAGGAGAAAATCTGCTTTTTGTTGTATTCTGGCAATCAGAAACTATATATGTAATTTTTGTGGCCAGATATAACTACTGATGGTTTAAAATGTAGAAAGATTTTGCTGCTTCTCTTTTTTCAAGGTGTAATTGGAGAAAGCCAAAGGGAATACAGAAAACAAATTAGAGCCCACAAGATTATGAAAGAACGCTCTCAATGAACATGCAAGGACAGATTCTAAATCATGTTAATGACATTAGATTTATAATAGGTCTGTTTTGGTACAAAAAGAAAATCACTAAATTTACAAGTGAAACACCACTGTACATTTGAAGAGTTTATAGCGTTCAGTCAAAGTTAAGAAATACTACAACAAATACACTCCACATCATAATCCAGAGGATTCTGCAGATGCCATGTGGCCTCAACTTCAAGGAAACTATCCTTCTTCAAACAATAAAGAAAACAAACCCTAAGCTTCAAGGATTTTAGAAGAGTAGGACATAATTTCTGTTAAAATACAGAGTAAGAAAACTGAAGTGAGAATTTAAACAAAACCAACACCCCCCCCAACTTGTTGTAATGTAAACATAGTAACTTAGTAAAAAAGAGCATCCAGTTGCCCTTTCTTAGCCAAGCATTGGGGACCTACCACAAAATTAGGCTGCTACATAGTTTATGTTCAAGCAAAGAGGCATTCATAGCACCAAGTTACCAAAATTTCAATCCCAAATTCAAGTTGCTGGCACTAAAAGCTCAAGTTTCTACATCTGCTCAGCAAAACTTAATAAAACCTGTCACAGATGCAAAACACAGAACCAAGTTTGCTGTACTTTTACAATTATCCAGAAGGATGATTTCCTTTATATGTCAAATACTCTGAATAAAATAAAATAGACTTAACTGGTATAAAACCTGAATATTACATAATTAAACTAAATTAAACCTGCATAAGCCTGTGCCAAAAGCGAACCCAACATGGAACCAAACAGGTCTCTTCTGGAACATGCTGACACTGATAATATGGCTTTTGGCTGCCAGTTCTTAAGAATGAGTCTTGAGATTAGAGATACATCTCCCTAATTATTCATGTTAAGTTCCTTAGAGTAGCATAAATAATGCCTAAATACTTCAGGAAAGTACAAACACCACTCAGATTCAAGTGGAACACTGAATAATTATTTTATTACACGATTACTAAACATCTAACCACTTTTACCAATTTACTTTCCATATCAAATTATTTCAAAGTTCCTTCTGCATAGCATGTTCTTTGACAAGATCAGGAAAAGAAGAAAAGGCCAGAAGGACAAAGAAAAAAAAAAGAAAAATAAAAAGAAGAAGAAAAAAAGTGAAAAAAGAAAAATGAAGAAAAAAAAAAAGAAGAAAAAAAAAAAGAAGAAAAAAAAAAAGAAGAAAAAAAAAAAGAAGAAAAAAAAAAAGAAGAAAAAAAAAAGAAGAAAAAAAAAAGAAGAAAAAAAAAAAGAAGAAAAAAAAAAGAAGAAAAAAAAAGAAGAAAAAAAAAAAGAAGGAAAAAAAAAAGAAGGAAAAAAAAAAGAAGAAAAAAAAAAAGAAGAAAAAAAGAAGAAGAAGAAGAAGAAAAAAAAGAATAAGCCCACTTTCCCTTGCAGACTCCAGCTACAGCTGGCTTACCTCTTGACAAAAAGCAAACATGATATGAGGAGTTTCTCAATAAATAATTTTGTCATTTCTACTAATTCTCTTTACAGAAAAGAGGCAGCCTCAGGATACACTGTGCATTTAAACAGAAATGGCCTTAATATATCAAAGCATCGCAAGTCTGTCACAAAAATTACTTGTCATATATAAAAAACCCCCCACATAAATTTTTCCACCTACTGCTCTGCCAGATTTCAAGAATATATTAGTCCAAACTAAATAAAGCAAAACTCACCAGTAGGTTTAAATTAGTATCACCTTAGAAATAAATGTAAGGTATAAAGAATGAAAAAGATAAGAAGTCATTGCTCTACTGTGAATCGGAAAAATTCTAGAAGTGAGAGAACAAGCCAGTGAACTGGAAGGTATAATATCAAGTCAACACAGAGCACTATTCAACAGTTATGTGTCAGAGGACAATAAAGAGGAATTCAGGCTTGTTTTAATTCATTATCTCCTAACAGGAAAATGTTTTCTTCAGCATGTTGAAGGTCTTTAGAACTAAGAATTCTAAGAACTGTCAAAGAATACCATGTGTCTAAATCTCTGTGATATATGTGAAAAGCTTCTTCCTGGATGCTTTGAGGATATAATAAATGAACTTTTGATTACATCAGAACTGTGCCTTGACTAAGAGGCAAGACGTTATTTATACTTACAACAGGTAGCAGCAAACAGCACATGTCACCAGCATTGTGTTGATAACACTACAGAAAAGGAGATAAACAGCTGATTAGGTGTCATGTTATGACTGACCACAAGATACATTGGAAAAAAAAAAAAAAAGAGCAAACAAGTTCAACTTTGATCATATGGAAGGTGACTCAACATGATTGTTCTAATTTCTTCCAGCTGAGTAAGTTGCAGAGGCACAGTTAAGACTGCAAAAGAACTGACACAGCTCTGGCAAACAGAAGTATACAGCTGTATTTAACAAAAATTACTCCGAAGAGGAGCGAAATCTTATGCAGTCAGTGTCCTCGCTCCATTTCACAGTCACTTCTATCAGCAAGTTAGTAAACTACTGAAGCTGGATGTTCTAATGCTAACAGTAAACAAGAAACCTTTTCTCCATTTGCAAAATTTTGCTTACAGAAAATTTCAGTATCAAAATATATATTTTAATTTTATATAATGAATGACGGTTTTAAAAGTTGAATACAAAATAAAATCTCAAAGCCACATGAAATTATCTGCGGGAAAAGATTTTCCTTCCTTGCTGAAAGAAAACTGTCAGAAACCATAGTTAAGCTGAAAAGAAGCAGCTCTTGAAATTCAAAATGGTAAAACTGCAGCTATACACACACATGATTTTGAAATGACAGGAAGGGAAATGAGATTTTCTAAAAGAGTGATCTGTACTGCTCTTGGAATTTAGCAAAGTGGAGGGTTTTTTTTCTCTTTAAATTATAAAAAGGGATTTCCCTCTATATGTTTCCACCCCAAACTGAGTAACAAAACCTCATGCTAGGTGAGTAACTTCCAGCCCTTCTGTGACATGGATAACATTCAGTATTTTTCATCTATCCATACACACCCACCGCGTCAAATTTCAAAGAAATGCTACGAAGCTAACATAGCCTGGATTAAGCTTCAAGAAACTCTCCTTTCCAGGGAGTCCCAGAGTCATTGTCTGGGAGTTTTAACCTGTGCAGAGTGAATTCTTAGGTTAATTAAAGTTTGTGTTGACTTCTTTTGTTAGAAGAAAAACAAACCTCTTCAAAAGCGGGCTTTGGGTAGAGTTTTTAGTTTTTTTAAGAATATGAGAAGTTAACAGACTACACAGTGTTACTATAGATGTGCTATAGTACCAGAACACAGCAGTGCTCTATTCATATTTGTTAAACAATTGCATTTTTGAATAATGACAGAGCATCTGTTGGTGACCCACATACTTTAAGGGCACACCTGGAAGACGTATTTCCAACCTATTTCTGAGGACAGGCAAGTTTTCAGGCACAAAACACGCTTCAGGTTTCAATAAAACTTGAATAAAATTCCTCCCAGTTTAGATAAACAACTAAGAGAAAAGACAGTTGGTACCTGTGGAGTAGAGGGGATGTCAGAGAGAGGAAGAGAGATTAGGAAGTCATTACCTCCTAGAGAAAAGAGAAAGACAAAAACTTGTATACTTTTTAATCTGAGCAGCTACGATCACTGCAGGAAAAATGTCTCTACTTGGATGTCCTGCTTCTGTCCTCAGGCCAGAACAGCTACAAGACCATTCTCGGGTGTTTAAGCACAGAACAGAGATCTACCAGAGCCACTTTTTCAGTCTAATCCAGCGTGGAACTAGAGGATGGTGGAGTAAGTTAGAAGAGATCAAGTAAGGAAAGAAAAAGGAAGTTATTACTCAAACACCATCTAACTTCACAATAGACCTTGACACAGGACGCCGCGTATGCAGACGTTCGCAGGGCTTGAGGGGAAAACTCAAACCCGTGAGAGATCATTAAAGCAGGGAAACGCCGCTCCCGGCTCCGGCCCCACGCTCGGGGAGCCGCCGCACAGCCGTTCGTTCCGGCCTCCCGCTGCCGGCTGGGTCCCGGCTGGCAGAGGCGCCCGGGTCCGCCCGCCCCCCGCGCTGCGGCAGCCGCGGGGCCCGCAGGCCGGGCTGCGGCAGGAGGCGGCGGCCGCGGGCCCGGCGAGCGCTGCAGATCCGGCGCCGCGGGGGAAAGGGGAACCCGAAAGGCCGCGGCTGCCCGGCAGGTCCGCAGGGGCACGGCGCGCCTCCGCCAGGCCAGCCCGCCTCGGGGTACCGGCACCGGGCCCGCCCCGCCGAGGGCCTCCCCACAGCCCCCGCCATGCCTGAGGCGGAAGGGAAGGGACCCACCGCCCCCCTCCGAGCGCCCCCCCCCCCCCCCCGGTCACTCACCCGCGGTTGGGCCCCTTGGGTATGAGCCACGGCAGGACCCCGCCGACCACCCCCCAGAAAACGCTCATGACGATGATGGGCACCGTCAGGCCACCGTACGCCATGGCGGGGGCGGCGGACAGCGGCTCGCTCCGTCCCGGCGCCTCCCCCGCCCCTCCCCTTCCCCTCGGCCGGCCGCTGCGCCCCGCCCCGCCGCGCCCGCCAATCAGCGCCCGCAACGTCCGCGCTGCTGGCGGCGGGAAGCCGCCCTGAGGGGGCCCGGCGGCCCGGAGCTCCTCGGGAGGAGGGTGAAGGGTCCTGCAGGGCAGCGAACCCCGAGGAGCTGCTCGGCGCATCGACCCGAGGGGGAAGAAAAATCCCGTGAAGCAGCGGGGACAGCGAGGGGTGAAACCTCCGAACCTACACGAAAGGAGCGGTGTTCAAAGCCCGCTTGCTAAAGCGGCCGTCATAGGAATGCCTATACATGACTTCAAAAGTGCAAATATAATTTTCCTCAGTTCTCAGCACCCAATTTTTCAGATTGCATTGGTGTTCAGGCAGGAGGTGAATTTCTTTCCCTTTGTATCAGCAATTAGAGGGCCATTCACTGAGCCAGTAAATTCACTTAATTGCAGGGCTGTTTTCAACACAAAGCATCTCTCAATTGCGTTTGTATAAAGCGCTAAAAACCTGATTTCCTCTTACTAAAAAATTAAACCAAAATAGCATTAGCAACAGCACTGAGCCTCCCCTCACTCCTACCCTGTTCAAATCAGGCAGCTCTACCTCAGCAGCAGTGGTGAGGTAAACCCTGCCTTCCTCAAGCTCTAGCATGAATGTAAGACCCCAAGACATCACACAGCAAATTCAGCGCTGTGGTTGGCCGTAACATGCCTGGTGAACCTCTAAAATGTCATCCATCACTGTCAAATACATAAGATAGTTGAAAAAAAACATAATGTAAGAGGACTACAGAGAGATTCATGGCCAGAAATAGCTTACTTTGTCCGATAAAACAACAAATACATAGAGTGCACAGAATTTACATGTTACTTAGATGTGTCCATGGTTTTAAATCAAGTGTTAAAGATCAGTGGAAGAGACAGAAGTAAAATGGTCAATAGATGCATGTGTTCAGGACTGAACTACTCTTTCTAACATTGGTTGAAGCATTTTTTTATAGGGAAAAAGCCTTTAATTTTCTTAAAACATGTATAAAGAACTTTTTAATTTAGTGGAAGTATTTTTTACATAGCCAACATCGAAATATGAGAAAGAACATTCAAACGCTAACCAGACACATCAAGACTTTCTAAAGGAGAAGACACAACAATAGGTTTCATTTTAACAGTTCTTTAATGGCGTCAAATAGTAAATCATCTATTCTTGCATCTTTTCGATTGTTTCTTCTTTGTATTTGCCCTTCTCCTTGCCAACTTGGCGAGATTTTGCTTTACGCTCCAAGATCTTTTTGCGATCTTTGTCCAGTTTTAGCCTAGTGATCACCACCTAGAGAAAGGACAAAGAATTTAGTGTCTCTTCAGCATTCAAGTAAAGCAACCTGACAGAACTGTGGTAACATAGCATGGCTCAGGAAGATCACCACTGACAGATTGCACCAAATCACCCCAGTATTATTTCCAGTGACTATCTAATTTGCTTTGAGTAGAACACAGGTGCTGAATTGCCTTCTGTATTTTAAAACACTGAGCTATTTTAATTTTTCTGGGTACAATCAGGGATTGGAACATATGGACATTTTTTTCAGTGCACAGCCACAGCATTTGGACAAACTGAAGAGCAGCCAAATTTCTATTCATCTACATAATAAAATAATTACTTTTAAGTAAATCTAGTTTACATTATGCTGCTCAAACACGATAGATACTACATCCAGCTAAAACACAGCATACAGTTGGGTCTTCTTCCCACTGCCACAAAGGCAAGTAATGGATCATTATTTTAATTTTTCCATGCTTTAGGCAACGCTACCTAAATTTCAGCACACCAGAAAACCACGCTGCTGCTGGCCATTACTGTATCATTGCTGTACTGTCTGGAATAGCCAATACATCTGACAAAACTATAGGCAACAATAAAAGTTCATGCACCACAGTGTCTCATATAAAGACACTTTAAAGAACACAAATGCTACTGAACAGTTGCACCAGGCAATTATCAAGTATTACTAACATGGACGTGTAAAAGGCAACTTGTGCCAGCTATTTGCTGCTACAGCCTTAATATTTCTAAAAAAGCAGCAGCAAACCAAAGCTCTGATATTCAGCCCCTAAGCAGCCTTCGGTGTTCTTTGTGCCCCCTCAAGCTGGCAAAGAAATAAATGTGTTGGTATTAGTGAAAGGAGTACTTAAAAAAATACAACTGACAATCAAATCCTAACTAGAAGAAACGTATAGGCTGCAGCAGGGCTGCACACTCCTCCTCAGTTCCATTGTGCATTTAGGTGTCTCTCAACTGTGACTAATTCCTACCTCTTTACCTAGGAGAGGCAGAAACTCTTCATCCACCCCCCTGCCCGGTTGCAACAAACAAAACATTCTGCTGTTCCATTTGCATTAATAACCAGAATCTTTATTCAAAGCTTTATCAAGGTCCAATTCCCAATTAGAGAAATATTTCGCAGAAATAAAGGACCAGAACAAAATTAAATTTCTTTCACTGTTATTTTCCACACAAGCAGTATGTACACTGGCTCCATCGCAATGTCACCTTGTCCGTCAAATGTTATTATTGCACACAAGTCATTATGTTGTTTTGGAATTATTCTGCTCTCCCTCTGCTGCACATACCAATCATTTAGACCAGAAAACCTGTTAAAACTGGATTTCTTCCACCAACACAATTCAGTATGCGTGTCCACATGGCAAAGCTGAAGCAGACTAATTTCATCTGCTTCAAACCAGGTTTTGGCTAGTTGTTTAGTTTTAAATGTTTTCCTATTATTATCAAAACATGCATTGCCTGGCTTTCATGAACTCTAAACATTGTAAATCACTTCAGGCTAAAACCAGATTCAGAAGAACTTAGTTCACAATAGCTCACAAGAACAAATCACGATTCTGAGCATCTATCTAAATGTTTCTAACACCTCCTTAACCAGTGCAAATGACACACAGCAAAGATGGACTGTTCTGAACAATCTGTTTTGTGCTTTAAAAAACACTAAGTTCTTCAAAAAAGTATTTTAGCAAGACTCTAACGTCTCTAACAGCTTCTCCACCAAATAAGCCCTAGAAACACTGAGTTCTTGGCTTCAACTGTCACTTCTATACTGTCATGACACCGTAATGTTTCTTTGCTTATGCCCCCCTCCGATGCTGGAATATCTCAATCCATTATTCCATGTGCCATAACAAGGTTCTACTCATGGCAGCAGCAGCATCTTCACTTGCCAACAAGGCCTCCTCATGCATTTCACATCTCACTTCATGCACAGTACCTTGCTGGGATGGATCCCCACGTGGACAGTTGTGCCATTAGCCTTCTCACGCTGAACACGTTCAATGTAGATGACGTATTTTTTTCTGTACACCTGGACCACCTTGCCAATCTGCTGTCCTTTGTAGTGTCCTCGGACCACCTAAACACAAACATTAACACCACATTATCCCATACTTCAAAAACATCCCTTAAACAACTACCACTTCTTAAGAAACACTAATTATCCCAACAGAAAAAGCAAACTGCATGGTTGAAATCCCAACTCGGCTCTTTGTATACACATGCCACAAAGACAGCAATTACTGGACAATTTCAGCAATCACTAAAATAAAAAAATATAATGGATCAGAACCGTAGTTTTCTCTCATTTGCCCTGCAGTAAACACCAATGAAGGAATTCCGTATATTTTCAACTGGAAGGTCAACTTCAACAGTTTTTCGACTATAATTGCATTTTAAATCAAAAAAAGCCACTTAACTTGGATTAATTTCTAAAGTGATCTTTTAAGCATCACACGTAGCTAACAGTCTAGAAAAAAATAAACAAACCCTTATCAAAAACCTTTAATCCAACGTGATAATCAATGCATGTATCTAAAGTACAGTAAAGCTGCCAGCGCATTTCTGTTCCCTGTATTTTCATTCTCACTGATGTGATTTCAAGAAACACTCAGCAGGCCATGTCTATGACTATATTAGCTTGCATCACTTCTGCAAGACCCATGGCAAAGCTCCGGCATCGATTTGAACTGGTCTAGCTCTTCCCTTTTGCTCAGGCAATACATGAAAACGAAAACACAGACAGAAGTTCACATGTGACTAGAACTTAAAAGACAGCGCAGTTACCTGGACTTCATCATCCTTTCGAATGGGCATAGAGCGGACATTGTATTTCTGCCGCAACTCCTTGGAGAGCGGGGAGGACATTATTTTTCTTCTAATGTGTGAAGGTGCATTGAAGTGTCGCTTGCGGTTCTTGCTGCGGTCTGAGGTCACAAATGGATTGAACTTCATTTTGGCTGCGAAAAATAGTAATTTGAGAGATACTGGTAAACACTACTCTGTATCATCTACCCACACAAAGTAGTCTATGACACAGTACAGCAATTTCAACTATTCTTAATCCTACCCCCAATTCATATACCCTTACAAACTGGAATTCAAATAAGGCGTAAACATCCTCCCTGATTGACAATGACACTGTGATTGTCAGACCTGCTACACACACGCACATCTGACAATTCTTTCTAATCCAAAGCTTGCTGTTCTCAGAAGCCAGGACGCCTGACTGACTAGTCTTAATTTTGCACTGTAGTATTCACCACCTTCACGTGTAAAGCAAACGTGTATTTTGTACTCGCTGAGAGAGGGGATTCATACTGCTTAGGCATGTCCAATAAAGCCCATCACCAGACTGGCACGTGTAGCAGATCTGTAAAGCCAAGATACTTTTGGCCTTCCCTAGACCGTAACAACTGCGCTGCAAGATTGCCTATCACGGCAGAATTCATCCTGACTGACGAGGGCTTGTCCATGAAATGATGCTTTTGCTGAACTCCGCAGCTTTCAGATACTACACACTTCCACCTCCTGTGCCCGCCAGCCCGGCCACGCTGCAAACCAGGCGGCCAAACCAAAGCAGGCTGCCGGAGCTGTGTGAACCGAGCGAGTCCCGGTCCAAGAACAGGCCAAAGGGGCCTGAGCTGTGCCAGGAGCCCGAGCTCCCCGCCGCGAAGCGAGCGCAGCCCGGGGGCGGGCCCGCCGCGCCGGCCACCAGCTCACCCGCCGCCTCCGCCCGAGACACGAGCGGCAGCAGCGGCCTCACCCTCGGGGCGCGCCCCGGCGAGCCTGGGCAGCGGGCAGCCCCCCCCCGCGCCATCGGCAGGGCCGGAGGCGACCGACCCCCCCTTCCCCCCCAACGCCCCCGGCCAGCCCCCGCCGGGTCGGCCGCGGCCAGCGGAGGGCAGCGCGGAGCCGCCCGGCGCAGGATGGCGGCGGATGGGGCCGGGCCGGGCCGCGCCGCCCTTACCGCCCCGCTGCTGCCGCCGCGACGGTCACCGGAAAAGAGGGAGAGCGCCGCGCTTCCGCTTCCCCAAGCGGCCGCCGGGATCTCGCGAGATCCGGGGAGCGGGGAGCCGGGACCCACCGGCGCCCCCTGGCGGTCGGCGGCCGCAGGTGCGGCGGGGCGGGGGCCGTGGCCTGTGCCCAGAGCCCGCCCGGGCATCACCCCGGGTTGTTCAGCACCAGCTACTTCTCTCCAAATCCAGCCCTTCCCCGAAGGGGGATGAAAGCAGCGACCCCGCCGCCGCCCGGCTTGGCCACCACGGAGACCCCTTTCCCGGGCCTTAAGCCAAGCTCAGCCTCCCCAGCCCCGGCCGCGCCCCTCCCCAGTGCCCGCTGCCGCCTCCCCCCCCCCCCCCCCCCCCCCCCCCGCACGCTGCTGGCATTTCAAGCACATCGGGTGCTGCTACATCTTTTCCAGACACTACTCGATTCTCAAGGAGAAGCAGTTATGGCAGAGCAGATTGCTGGTGGAAATGAACCAAGCAGTACGGACGCGGGGTTGGGTTTTGGTTGATAAAGATAGACTGGAAAAGTTTCCAGACTGGGGAGTTGCAGCAGGCTGAGAGTTGGACAAACCCCTTTCCCAGTGCTTTTAGTCATCCTTTACACGGAACAAGGAACCTTCAGCACCATCCTGCCACTTCTGGAAATCTGAGTTTCGGTCTGTATGTGAGGTTCACTGGAAGCAGGCAGAATCTCTTCCTTCATGATGTTGTACTGCAGGCACCAACGTAAGCAAGCAATACCAGAACTTAAACAAAAATGGTTTCTTAATATGGTGCAGATATACAGTGCCCAAATTCACTGTGTTGTAACCCTTTACTATTTAATCTTTCATAATTGCTTCAGACACTTATTTCTAAATACTTAGAGTGAAGCAAGGCTAAAAGGAAATTAAAGGGGGGGGGGAACAACACAAAAATCAGGTTATTTTATATACCAACTGGCACAGTGACTAAAGCCAAACCCAGCAAGTTCCAGGCACAGTCCACTCACCTCTCATTAGAAAAAGGGAGGTTAGGACACTTGGTACTGTTCAAATCCAAGCACTGAATGTCCAGACATGACTCAGTGCTGATTACAAAAGAGTTTCGTGTTAACTTTCTACACAGTGACCTGGCTTACAGTGATTTCATTGTGTGATAACGCTTAGTTCACTGAAATAATAATTAAAAACAAAAGAAAAAAAGCCCTTTTAATTGATTTTGCAAGAGTAGTGCAACAAGAGGATGATCAAAACACGAGTTTTATTTTTAATTATAGAACTAAAAAGGCTAATATTTTATTAACATAAGATTGCAAATTTAAGAGAGAAATGCCAGAACTCCTTAATAATTTCCACTGTAAAAATGCAAGAGACCTGTGCTTTAAACATTGCTGTAACATACTACAGGACTACGTCCTCCTTCCCTTCTTCCAAGAACTACTGAGAAATACATCATTGACATATTCCATCTGAAACTTCAAATGACTATTCAAAAGAAGATACTCATCACAGTCATTTTCAGCCCAAACATTTTGTGTATCACACAGATAAAAACCAACTTTAAATGAGAGACACTCAGAAATTAACTACAGACATTACCATCTACACTGCAGATTTCACTTTTTACAGAGTAGTTGAATGCAAACACTTGATAGATCATTCACAAATTCAAGTCTTCCAATTTTTTTCTTACCTGTCAATTTTTTTTTTTTCTTAAAAAATTATCTTCAGCAGTTTACCTACTGCCTAGAATATACCTAAGCACAGCTTTCTCTAGAGCTAAAAATTTTAACTCCACCATTGCAAAGCATCTTATGCCACAAGTTCTCACTGTATGATGAAGCACAGATTTAGAGTGACTTATTTTGACTGGAATATATACAAGTTCTAAATATTTTACTTTCTACAGGGATGTCTGTCTTGGAAAACCACAAATACTTCTGTCAAAATACTGACTTGAAAGAGCAAAATCGGGAATATGGATGAACACCTACAATCGATGGTTTTCCTTCCACTGTGACTTGAAAGCATTTTTGTTTGCATTGGTGTTTAAAAGCATAATTAAGGTCATTTTGTCTCTAGAAAGTGTTTGAAAATAAAAGTGAAATCTAATGAGACATGTATGCACGGGGCAGGACTGCTGTTAACAGTTAACTACCTCGCTTTCACATTTGGAGAGATGAAGAGCAGATTCTTCTGTAAACACATGATGCAGCATCTTTACATGACCCAAGCCAGCCATGTCTGAAGGACAAGCTTGCTACAAGTTACAGAAGACCTAGAAGGTAGCCTTGGCTTGGCTGTATTCAAAAGCTTAGACCTGGTTTAGAGAACTAAGGTGCAGACTGTTTCTTCAGCAGTTTTGCCAGAACCTAGAGTATAATTTTGTTTCCACATCTAGTGAAAAAAACATGATTTATTAGGTTATTGCAGTGGACTTTTTCACAGAGAAGGCACACACACTGAAGTATACATCTGTTATTTCCAGAAAAAGCCAAACAATTTCACTGGTCTAGTTTAGAGAACTGGCCTGGACTGCCCAGAAGGCAGCATTTAATTCTGAAAGAGGATGGGGAGAAGGGCAGAAATAACACACCAGGGACAAACAAGAATCTGCAACCAGCTTTGCTTGTTTGTGTCGAAGAAGTTGTACGAGGGAAGAAACTTCTGAAAACTAACAGTACAATCCACTGTGCTACAAAGATCTTCTCTTGCACAGCTCGGGAGAAGGACACATTGCTAAGATACTAAAAATCACATTCTAGCTAAGACACAACAAATTCAAGAGAGAAAACCAGGACATTTTTTGCTCTAAGCTTCAGCTGGTCACAGTGGATTAGGGGAAATCCTCTGGCCATCGTGAGAAGCAATTGCAATGGAAAATCCCAGCTCCCACCAGGCAGCCGCTGCCATCCAGTGGGTACCGCTCGCGGGCACATGGACGCACGCACCGAAATGAAGACAAGCATCTCATTTTCAAGTTGATTTTTGTAAATGGAAAAAAATGTATAAAATCTATCCATACATTAACAGATACAGGAAGTTACACAATCCAGTTTACACCTAAAGTAATATCAATCAGTCCATAATAAGAGCAGGGAAAAATTCCAATGCTGTAATTTGTCCAAAGTCACTACAGGGCAGAGGACAGCAAGGGGAGGGTGGTTGGCTTCTTTTTTTTTTTGGTGTGTAGATAAAACTGGCTACCTTCCCTACTTCCAAAGCAATGAGACAATTTCAACAGACATGTATTCAGAATACTTTTGAAATGCATCTGACTCTATCATTAACACTGAATATTCAAAGATTCATATTATTACAGCATAATGTTGGGATACTTTTGCCTCCAGGAAAGGGCAGTGGGCAGTAGATATTATCCAAGAGAAATCCTGCACTCGTCTTAGAATTTACAGCATTGATTGAGTTAAAGATTTTTATTTTATAATTTTTGTCCATCCCGGAATACTTGAAAATCTGTGTATCCTCATCTCAGACACTTACAAAGCATGCAGAGACTGTTACTACTCAATTAACAGTTAGGAGGCTATGGAAAATGCGCTGGTGGGTATTGGTCTAATTTTAGTGAACTCATGTCTATCATTACATGCAAGCCACACCTGGCAGTAGTTTTCCTCTCATGCCTCCATTTACTGGAGGCCCCAGAAGACAAGGCTTGAATTAATGGGCATGGAAGCTCAGGTACCATTTTAAACAATAAAGCAAAAAAACCTGCTAGCAGCGGCCAGCTTGTGGGGATGCCTGCCCTGCTACTGGTGTACCTGTGGGTGAACAGTGTCAGCCTAGTGCTCAGAAAAGATGCCTGAATTTTAAAGAAAAAGAGAGGCACCTTAAACCCTGAAAAGACAAGACTTCCTGTGTTTGACAGGTGTATTCAATATACACACTCAAAGCAAGACAGTAAGCTGTGCTCATCCACCCAGAAGTCTGCACCATTTTTCTGAACACATACAATATACAACCCCCTTTCAAAATAACAACAACAACAATAATAATAATAATAATAATAATAATAGTAAAGCAGAAGTGCAGAATCCAGACTGTTGGGTGGTCTGTGTTTAAAAAACATAAGAAAGAATAAAAGCTAATGCTGTAAAGACAACTATTCCCTTTCAAAGCAAAGGCCACATAAAACTGTGTTGCTCAGTTTGGTTTTTACTTCATGCCACCTGTAAACACAAGACTGGATATTCAGTTTCTGGGAAGAAATTAAACCACTTTTACATCCATAGTAAAAGAAAGGCCCTCCACTGCCTGGATCACAGATTACCCAGGAAAAGGTAGCTGGAGGAAGGCCTCCTCTTCTTGTTTGCTCATTTCATTAGAAAGGTCATACCTGAACAAAAGAGCTTTCAATAAAAGCACAAAACATTTATTGATGTTATTTCTGCCCTCTGTCTCTAAAGTTTGCTACAGGGACTAACACTTCCCACTCCTCACCAACAGATACATCACCTTTTTGGCACCATGGGTGGAATTTCTTCCTAATGTATAATTTTACCTTATACAGAAGTCGATTGTCTAATCATGCAAATCCAACAGAATTCCAAAAAGTGCCACAAGACAGCTCATCTCTTTGCAATCTACTACCTAGTTTGTACACTGCCATAGGAACCTCCCAGAGAACAGACTGTTATCCTTACTTAGATCTGATGGTGTATTTCATATATGGCA